CACACTCATGTTATGGTGTTTTTGATGTTGTGAACTCACCCCTACTGCTGTGCCCTTTGTCTTGATAGAGGCATTCAACTTATAGCAGCCTTCGGCCAGCCAGCAAAGGCATGACTCAACGCTTGGATATCCCAGACCTTCCTCTCTCAGGTGAGTTACTTTAAACATGTAAACATGAATTATTTTTGACTTATTTTTTGTGAGGTGACTTTTCATGAAACTGAACTTAGAAAAATAATTGGTAGTGTTTATTCCAACTGATTTCAGCCCTTAAATGTATACACTGTGGACTTTAGATCTACCTGTGCAGCCACCACAGGAAAAAGTATCTCTTGTTAGTTGCAATTCTTGATGTGCACAGATGAGAGAGAAATGCCACTTTTTTAAAATAAACCAAATCTCGAGAGAATGTCAAATCTTTAAAAAAAAAACTTTTAAGAAAAACATATGATTTTGAATTTATCTATTGCTTCTACAGTTGCTACAGTATACCTCTTTTAAGAGAGCACTGTCTTTGGGTGTAATTTTCTTTCTGTTATACTCTATTTTAAAAAGTTCATAGAACCCATTTTTATTCATGCTGCACCTCCTGTGCTGATGGCTGATGGATGTAGCTTTTTTAAAAGAGGGTCAAAAAGGTAGAGTCGCTTGGGTTTGACTCTTGGCACTGCTACTGACGGTCTACTTTGACTTTGTTGTGCTCTGGTTTCCTAATCTCCAAAATAGAAATAGCTACCTTGACTAAGATAACATATTTAAAACACTTAAGACCCAACCTGGTGAATGTGGGCATTTTTTAGCAGTGTTTGCCAGTTCACAGTCCCAGAATAAAAAGAATAATGATACTCTCAATGAAGTGAGTTATGGACTTTTTTATTTTCCAGTGCATATAAAAGTTATACTATCCTGTAGTTGGTTACATGTGCAATAGTAGCATTGTCTCAAAAATTTGTATACATAGCCTAATTAAAATACTTCATTGCTTAAAAATGCTAACATTCATCTCAACCTTTAGCAAAGTTATAATCTTTTTGTTGGTGGAGGGTCTCCTCCATGTTGATGGTTGCCAACTGATGAAGTGGTAGTTGTTGAAGTTTGGCATGGCTCTGGCAGTTTCTTAAAACAGTGGAATGTTGGGGCTGGGGATTTAGCTCAGTGGCACAAAGTCCTGAGTTTGATCCCTGGTACGGGGTGTGGGGGTGGGAGGGTGGAATTTGCCATATTGATTAACTCTTACATGAAAAATTTCTCTGTAACATGTGATGCTATTTGACAGCATTTTGCCCATATTAAAGTTTGAGTATAATTGGAGTCAGTCTTCTAAAAGCTGCTTTGTCAATTTAAGCTTATGTAATATTCTAAATCCTTTTCAAAATTTCAACATTGTTCACAGCGTTTTCACCAGGAGTGAATTCCATCTCCAGAAATCATTTTCCTCATCCATAGGAAATAATCCTCATCTATTAAAGTTTCATAATGAGATGGCAGCAGTTGAGTCACATCTTTTGGCCCCACCTGTGATTCTCTTGCTATTTCTATCACATCTGCAGTTAACTTCCACTGCTGAAGTATTGAACCTCTCAAAGTCTTCTATGAGGGTTGGAGTCAGCTTCTTCCAAACTCCTGTTAATATTGATATTTTCACCTCTTTGTGTGAATCTTGAATGTTCTTTTTTTTTTTTTGGTACCGGGGATTGAACTCAGGTCCTTGCACTTGCAAGGCAGGCCACCGAACCGCTGAGCTAAATCCCTGGCCCTTGAATGTTCTTAATATCTTCAAGAATGGTGAATCTCTCTCAGAAAGTTTCAGTTTACTATGCTTACATCTATCAGAGGAATCACGACCTGTGATAGCAGTAATCATACAAAATTTATTTTATAAATAATGAGACTTGAAAGTCAGAATTACTCCTTCATCCATGGGCTGCAAAATAGATGTTGTTGGCAGGCCTGAAAAGAAACACTTATCTCACTGTACCTCTCCATCAGAGCTCTTGGGAGACCAGGTGCATTGTCAGTGTAACCTTTTGAAAGAACCCCCCCCTTTTTTTGCAAGTAGTAGGTCTCAACATTGGGTTTAAAATATTGAGTAAAACCATGAGTGTCATCCAGGCTTTGCCTTTCCATTTATAGAGCACAAACAGAGTAAACTTACTGTCATTCTTAAGGACCTTGGGATGTCAGGATGGTAAATGAGCATAGAACTATGTGAGCTTTTTTTTTTTTTCACTTGTGGTGAAAGCTACATAGCAGAATTTATCCTCTTAACCTTTTCCAAGTGTACTCAGTAGGTAAGCTTTGGATCATAGAATTTGTGACCTCTTCTTTCTGTTCCATTAGCTTCAAAGTTCTGAAGAAACCATTATTTTGATTGACAAGATAAATACTACAGTTGAGACCGACCGCAACTTACTGTGGAATAAGTGGCTCATTGATATCCTTCCTTTTCCTTCCCCTACCAGGCACCTGTCTGGATGACTCTATTTACTGTAATAAAGAAAGGATTACACAGTGAAAATTGTTTGCTTCTAACCATTTCCAGCAATTGCTTGTCAACATTGAGGTCATCAGAAGCTGCAGGAACAAGAATTAATGTGCTGTTTTTGTTGTTCTCTTTAGTGATGTAAACACTGTTTTTCTCTGCTATTTAGAGCTAATTGGCCTCACTCCCAACTTCACTACCCATAATTGGTGACTGCGTGCTATAGAAGTATTGTTTTCTTTTGTGATTATTTGTGAGTCCACAGCAGGCCCTCATGTTGCCTGACTGTCATATATCTTTGAAGTAGTTATTTAATTATCTTAGTTACAGTGTCTTTTAGCAGTCTAAATCAGACAGTCTTGAAAATTTTCTCCTGTTCTCTACTTTTATGTTCTTTAAAAAATAACTGGAAGGGCCAGGATTTAGCTCAGTGGTGCCACCTGCCTCGCAAGCACAGCTCCAGAGTTTGATCCCTGGTACCAAAAAAACCAAAACAAAACAAAACTGGAAGTCAGGCATCCTAGCATATGCCTGTAATCCCAGTACTCTGGGAGGCTGAGGGAAGAGTGCTGCCAAGTGTGAGCCCAGGCTGGACAACTTAGTGACTTAGCAAAACCTTACCTCAAAATAAAAAATTTAAAAAGGCCTGGGATGTAGTCCATTGTAAAGGCCGTGGGTTTAATCCCCAGTACCAAAAATTAAAAAAAGAGAGAGAAAGAAATAGCTGGAGGATGCAGCCCATTTCATTATCTGACTCAGGACTCTAACAACAACAATAATAAAAAGTCTTTAAGTTATTTTGCATATGTTTTTACTGAGCCAATCCCTGTTATTGTAAGGCTTTTTCTCTAGTAAAATAGTTTGCATTCTTTTTCTCAGCTTTGTGTATGCTGCTGCCTGTGACCTGATAATCCTGTGTTATTTTCCTGCCTGCTCTTTGTTCTTTCTGCTGTCCAGTGATTAAAACAAAATTTCAAAGATTGCTGTGTTCATGGGCATTTGAACTGGATAGTTGCACAAACCTTTTAGAAGGGCCCATACTTGGCTTAATGCTCCAGTAAAGCCACCTTGAAGTTCATAATTTTGAACAAGGTATTGACTTGGCATTACATCTAGTAAATTATATACAGTAATTGGTCCTGCCTGAGGAATCTTTAGAAAATACCATGTCCCTATTTTTATTACCAATTCCAGGAAAATACATATACAAGCACATGCGCACACACACACACACACACACACACACACACACACACACACACACAATTTGTACTTGGAAATAAAATGAGAATTATACTTAAAAATCAAGTATTATGACCAGTCTCAAATTTCTCCTCTTCGGAAATAGGTGACTATGTCTTTGCTACAGATCTTCTGAAGGGGAGGACTGAGGACCTGAAGCCAGACCCTTACCTCCGAAAGAGTCCTTCACTGGAGTCACTAAGCAGACCCCCCTCCCTGGGCTTTGGGAGCACCAGACTACTGAGTGCCTCCACTGGGGGGTTGAAACCACCGAGCAAACTCAGGTACTATGTTTTAAACAGTGAGAAATCAAAAATACTGGGTTGGTAACCTTTTGCTTTTACTTCTGTTTTGTCTCCCAGGTCAGTTTATTTCTGCAAATATTTCCTGAATGAAAATGATTATAATATAGTACTAGCCAGGTACAGTGGCACACATCTACTCAAATCCCATCTACTCAAAAAGCAGAGGCAGGAAGATTGCCACTTCAAGGCCAGCCTGGTCAATTTAGCAAGGCCTTGTCTCAGAAAATAATATAGCTATAGCTCACAAATAGTCACAAAACAATACTTCTATAGCTGGGGATATAGCTTAGTGGTTGTGTGCCTAGGTTTGATCCTCAGTACTAAACAAAAGAAAAGGATACAATACTTGTTTTCATAGTATTGTGCAAAGTGAAATGAAAGACTGCTTTATATGCATGCAAAGTACTTGGCAGGTTGTTAGTTGGCTAGGGTTGTACAGGTGCCCTCATGAGCAAGCTATGGAACTAGACCCTAGGCTTTCAGAGGGCTAGGACCCTGCTAAAGCATACAGTAGGCTCTCAGTCAGTACTGACTAGGTAGATAGGTGAGTGACTGGGCTGTTAGAGCTGAAAAGGCATCCTGGGGCTCTGTTGCAAATAGTTTTCATTGCCAGTGATGAGGTTCATACTTAATTTGGTGAAGCGGTGGGAAACCGCTAAGTCTGTGGGATTTTGTTTTTGTTTTTGAGTAGTAGTTAATATCAGGCCTACTCTTTTAAAAAGATTAATCAGAACACAGTGGCATATGAAGAGGATTAGAGCAGAAGTTTTGAGATAAGTGTTTAAGGGGACGTTAGCAAGGTTGTGAAGGATGCAGTAGGAGAGGGAGAGAATAGAGAGGCAGGTACAAATCTGCCTTTGTTCCCATATCTTTGCCACCTCCTCCTTTTCAGTATACTGGTTCACCCAGGCCCAGCAAACTTCTTTCAGCTGTTTCCTTTCTCCTCTGTGTCCTCCCTGCTTCTCTAGGTTTAATGGTCTTTTAGGCCACTATATGCATCCTACTTACAAACCTTTCATGACTGTCATCCACACTCTTCATCCTAGTCTTCTAGCTGTGCCACAACTTGGCATCACCCACACTCATCTGCCAGAATCACCCAGCCCTTCACTCTATCCACTACTATCTTACTCTCTGACTTTGTAATATAATGTGAGCATTTCTGATTGCAAATATTTGTTTATAAAGTTCCAGCTTGAATTGCCTTCCTTTTTGTCCTCTCACACTTGTAAATGCTGCTTCTCCTTCAAGAGCAAACCTGCCATGAAGTTTGTACTAACCACCATGATAGTACCAACATTACTCTTCTCTGACTTTGGTGTCTTATGCTCCATTTGAGTCTTTAATTTCTATGCTGCTGTGCAGTACATGCCCTTGTCCTGAGAAAGGCTATAATTTGGTGGATAATAAATATTTTGTCTTACATTTTGTTATCTTTCATCCACCCTTGTCTGTGCTACACACATAGCATTTTATTCACTACTTATGAATGGGTAGGTAAATATACAAAACTGACTATATTACAAGTACGAACTTCATAATAAATGCTATAATTATCAACATGAGTATTATAAACAATGTATGAAAGTCTGAGTAAGTTCAGATCTTGTATTTTTGGGTGTAACCTACATTTGGACCCAAATAGATGAAGTCATGTGTTTCAAGGGTTGAGTATAAAGCCCCTCCTATTGTATATCATCTTGTTTATTTGCAGGAGATTTCCATAATCAAAACAGCTTTTAAGGACCAGAGTTAGTACTATTCTCAGATTGGTACCAGAAATGCCTACAAAAGACTATATATATTAATATGCTATGATATAATATAATATAATATACCTTTCATCATGAAAAGTGAATAAAATTAATTTATTTCAATTTAGCATGTTATTGAGATTAACCCATGGCAGGATAAAGATGACTTACTTAGAAGTTCCTAATGTGCACATGGTGGTGCACACCTGTAATCCCAGAACTTGGGAGACCAAGGTAGGAGGCCAGGTCTGTGCTACGTAGTGAGTTCTAGCAAGACCTTGTCTCAAAAAAAGCCACACACACATACACAAAAAGAAGTTCTGGCCTGAATTATTAAATATGGAAGGGGAGGAAGTCATACTTTCAAGAAAAAAATATTTGGTGTATGCCTCTTTTATTCATGCAAAAAATCCTTCATTTCAATTCAGTCTAATTTGTCAGGTGTAGTACCTGGATTCCAAGGGATGACATAAGGCCAGGCGTGGTCACCAGGTGTTTGTAGTTAACAGCTACTCTGACCAAAGAAACTCATGCAGGTGACTTTACATATCTTTCCACTGTGTGGTAAACCAGTCATCAAATTGTACAAGGCAAACTTAAATTCATGTTTGAACTGTTTTTCTTAAAAAATCCTCCTACCTGAGTTCATATTGCTGATCTAGAATTATCCTTCTTTCTAAAATCATTTAAAATATTTTTATTAAATATTGGATGGATACATTAGGGAAGTTTAAACTTTTCCTATGAAGTTTGTTAATCTTAGTGTATGAAAAATTGGCAGTAAATTAACAAGAAAAGTATATAATATCTATTAATGCAGAAATATGAAAGCCAGTTAAAATATACGCAACTCAAAGAGAAGACCGCCTATCTGAATATTAAATATTCTTTTCATAGCAGGTAGGGCAGTGAAGATGTAAGCAGTTTTAGAGGAATAGTATATTGTTTTTCAGGCAGATAAATGGGCCCAGAAGAACTGACAGTGGTTTGGGACAGAGATCTTCTTGAGTCTAGACATGATGTTTGACCCAGTCTTTTCTAGCAAAATTAGAAAATTTTCTAACACAATTAGAGTCAGAAGAATGAAAGCTGCTGTGTCCCTTTCTTGGTGGATCTGGTCAGATAGAAAAGAGTATTTTACAAAAAACCTGTTCCTGTGCTGAGAGAGGGAGAAACAAGGAATAGTCAGAGGGACCTTATGTTCATCAGCTTTTGGTCACTATAACAAATACATGAGATGTTCAACTTACAAAGAGAGGTTTTATTTGGCTTTAGTTTTTGAGGTTCTAGTTCATGATCAGTTAACCCTGTAGCTTTGGGCTTATGGTGAGGCAGCACATTAGGGCCAGAACTGCTTAGCTCCAGGCCGAGAAGCAAAAAAGAGAGCAAATGGTGGTCCACAGTTCCCTTTAAGGGCTTGACCCCAGTGACCTAAAGTCCTACCATTAGACTGCACCCCTTATCGCTTCTCAGCCTTTTGGCTAAGATCAAGTGTAGACTGCACCTCTTAAAGGTTCCACTTCCTCCCAGTGGTACCATTCTCAAGATTGAGCCTTTAATATGTGGGCCTTTGGGGTACATTCCTGATCCAAACTCTAGCAGACCCTAAATCTAAAACAACTTCTAAGGCCTCTCATTATATCAAAGCACCAGCCTGTGGGATCTCTTTCTGAGCCCCAGTGATACCAAAAAAATTAATATTTGAAAGACATAAAGAATAACAGTGAGACAGTGAGATCTGCCTCAGTGCCTACCTCCTGATTTAAGAAAAAGAAAACTAATGCTTGGGCTGGGGATTTAGCTCAGTTGTGCCACTGCCTGCCTCACAAGCGAAAGGTCCAGAGTTTGATTCCTGGTACCAAAAAAACCCCCCAAAAAAGAAAATGCTTTTGAAATTTCTTCTTGGACCTTTCTTTTTGTTTTGTTTTTGGTACCAGGGATTAAACTTGAAACCTTACACTTGCAAAGCCTGCGACAGAACCACTGAGCTAAATCCCCAACCCAGACCCTTTCTTAATTGTATTACCTCATTCCCTTCAAGGTAACCACTATTGTATGTTTAATGTTTATCTTTCCTTGCTTTTTTTTGTACATTACCACACATTTGCATCCCAAAACAATATAAAAATTATTGCATATTTAAAATTTTATATACTTGAAAACATTGTATTTTTTTCATTCAGAATTGTTCCTGCATACATCTGCAGTTCTTTGATTTTTATTGCTGTAGAGTATGATTGTATCACACCTTATGTAGACATTTGCCTATTGTTGTACATTGAGGTGGTTTTTGTTTTTGTTTTTGTTTTTGTTTTTTACTATTCCAAATATAGAGTTTTTCCATGAAGATTCTTGTATCTGTATCCTGATGATGTCTATCCTAGGAGTAAACCTAATTACTCTGACACAATTTCCTGCTACAGTGCATGCTCCAGAAAGGCACCTCCTTTGTAATCTCTCAACCACTTTCTTTTCTAGTACTGTGGTACATGATATTTGGGAAATAGAGTATTGTACAAAAATCCCATGGGATTGGGAAAATAAGGTACTATATAAGAATCCTACAGGAATATAGTTCTGATTTAATGATTTTCATGACAGAACTGGTGATCTTAAATCTCTTTTAACATTTGAATATTTTGACTAGCTAAAAATTTAATGCCAATATTCATAGAAAATAGTGCATGGGGCACCTGCACTCTTGTTCTCGAGATGCTGTTGTTTAGCAAAGTCACCTCAACTTTGGCTAAATCAGGTGCTCAGAGCTAAGTTGATGTTCCACAAATTAAGGAAAACAAATATCTCTTGGTGTATGGAAAGACCCTCTTTTTGAACCATTTGATTTATTTTGCTGATTTCCCCTTCTCTTCACCCCCATCACTTCTCATAACCAGCCAATCTGGTATTTTTAATATGACCTTCCCATCTAACTTTTCATGTTGCCTAGAAATAGGTGTAGCCTTGAGACATGTAGAGTGGTTTTGATGTAGTTGTTTGTAATTCAAATGATACTGTGCTTCACTAAACAAATAAAAGCCTGGCTGGCTAGATTTTAAAACAAAACAAAATTCCCTTAACTGTGTCCAGAGCAGTTTAGGTTTTCTTTTACCACATCAGATAATATAATTATTATTAATGTTACTGACTTGATTGTCTCATTAGTCTCTCTGAATAAAGCTAGGCTTTTGCTTTTGCTAGGCTTTTGCTTTTGCTAAGCTAGATATTTATTTTTTATATATTTGAGGGTTCCAGTATCTTCTTCTTACTATATATTCTTCTTTCTAACCAGTGTGGAAAGAAGAGACCCTCTGGCAGCCTTAGCCCGGGAATATGGTGGCTCCAAACGCAATGCACTATTGAAATGGTGCCAGAAGAAGACAGAAGGTTATGCGGTAAGGGAGGGCATAGCCAGTGGGATGGTAGTGGTCCTGCGTCAAGATATGTTCCAGGTGTGCACCTGCTTGGTGGTCCAATTTACATGTAATTGTTATCTTTCTATTCCCCTGGAAGGGCTGCCAGGGAGGATTTTGTACATGTGTGCTGTGCAAAGTCCCCCAGATGAGGAGGCAAATGGGACTAAAAGGCAGTCTACATACAGCCCACAAGCCATATCCCAAAATGCAGAGCTATGTCTCCTATAGGAAAGGGACCCCTTTTCTTTGCTCGTAGGAGGCATAAACTGTCCAAGCAGTGCCCCCAGTAGGCTGCTTCAACCTGGAAACAGCTTTTGCTAAGTCATTCTCTCAAAAAGCATACCTTTTCCTAATTACACAAAGGCCCCAAGAGGCTGCCTTCCAAAATTTTTACAGAAATTTTCCTTCAGTGGCTTTGAGAGTTGTTTGTACTTAAGAGTTTTGGTTTAATATTTAATATTTGGCTGGGCATGGTGGCACACGCCTGTAAACCCAGCACACAGGAGGCTGAGGCAGGAGGATCACTGTGAGTTTGAGACCAGCCTGGGCTACATAGTGAGTTCCAGGTCAGTCTCAACTATATAGTGAGACCCTGTCTCAAAAAACCAAAAAAAAAAAAAAAAAAAGATTAGACAAAGGAGCAATACCTGATGTAGGTTTAAGCCTTTTTATTATAAAGCACCATACACAAAGATAAAAGTGCATGAAATATAAATTAGAAATTCATGAATTATTATGAGGTGAAATCTCATCTAAAAACAGAGCTTTGCCAGTCCTCACAAAACTTTTATATTACTTTCCAACCATAACCCTTCACTACTGCAAGAAATGTCCATTGACCTCAGTGCTTTTTATTTCAGTTCTTTATGAAAGGATGTGTCCCTAAATATATGATGTTAATTTTGTCTGCACTTGTATTTTATATAAACAGAACAAAAAATCTATATAATATTTGGGTCTTTTTCACATAGTATTATTAGTAAGATTTATACATTTTGTTACATCTAGCTATAATTTATTTTCTTTACCATTTAGTAACCTGTTGTATAATCATACTATTATTTATCTACTATATTATTGATGCATAGTTGAGTCATTTCTAGTTCACGACTATTTTAAATAGTTCTGGTGTGCTAGAATTCATACATTCTTGTTCTTATTTGATATATACTTAGGAATGGAATACTCAGCCATATGGTTGGTATAGCAGACAGTACCAGATTTCTGAAGTAGTTGTATAATAAATGTCCCACTGGCAGTTTGTGAGAGATCTGTTTCTCTACATTCTCACCGACACTTGGTATTGTTGGTTTTCTTCACTCACTCATTTGGGTAAATGTGTGGTGGTATATTATTGTATTTTTGTTTTTGAGACAAAAATCTCACTATGTGTAGTTCACGCTGGCCTTGAACTTATTATGTAGCCCAGGCTGGCCTCAAACTTGTAGTGATCTTGGTGCCTCAGCCTCCCAAGTACTGGACGTACAGGCATGCACCACCATACCTGGCTGTTATTGTGGTTTTGATTTGCATTTTCCTGTTGGCTAATGAATGTAAATGTACACTAACTGTCCATTTGGATTGTCTCTGTAGAGGTGGAACTGCTCAGGTCATTTTTTTTGTTATGATATCATATATTTAAGGTTCTTCTGGGGATTTAACCCAGGACCTCATGCATACTAAGTACACACTGCACCTGAGCTACACACCTAACCCTTGCCCATTTAAAAATTGCCTTGTCTTTTTCTTCCTTATTCCTTTTAGGAGTTCTTTATATGTGCTGTACATCTTTGTCAGACAGATGTATAGCAAATATCTTCACCCCGGGGTGGTTTGAATTTTCACTCTTTTACTGAACATTTTAAATTTTAATTAAGTGTAATTGATCAAATATTTTCTCTATTGGCTAGTGCTTTTGTAAGAATCCAGAATGAGAAATATATTGTCCTATGTTTTCTTCTAGAAGTTTTACTATTCTACTTTTCACATTAGACAGATGCCTGTTTAAAACTGCTGGCTCCTGTGTTCTTTTACTGAATCTCCGCCATCACTTACCTTTATCTCATTTTGCTAAAATTTCTGAAGATGCTACCACAACATCCCCTTCCCAACCTCACACTTTGAGCATGGCAGGAACAGAGAAGAAAAGAAACTAGATAGTAATGAGGGCCTCTGCCAGCACAGATAGCTGAGAAATAGAGGTGAGATTCTCCTTGTATTGTTGGCCATTGTCTTAGTTACTTTTATTACTGAGACGAAATACCCAACACTTACAAGTTAATGGAGGAAAGGTTTATTTCAGCTCAGTCTGTACAGGTTTCCATTCATAGTCAGCTGGTTCCAAGGCAAGGTGGCATCAGAGAGGAGAAGTTGTCCATGGTAAGCAGGCAAGGAGATAGCAGAGCAGCAGCAACAATCTTGCCTTCTTTCTGTCCCTTTATATTCTGTTCAGGTCACACACCTATTACTGGTGTCACCTGTATCTAGGATGGGGCTTCCATTACCCAAACCCTTGATCCACATTCATATACCCTAATCCAGCCACCTTCGAAACTCCCCACCTATGACCACATGAGGTTTTTGGGGGAACATCTTGATACAAGCCACAGTCATCATTCAGTGTCTTTAACTTCAGAATCTACTCAGGGATATAAATATCTGGCATCAAAAAAGAAAAAAGCCAGGCATGGTGGGACACTCCTGTAATCCCAGGACTCTGGGAAGCTTGAGGAGGGAGGCTCTCAAGTTCAAACATCACCTGGGCAACTTAGTGAGAACATGTCTTGAAATTTAAAAATCAAGCCAGGGGTAGTGACACACACCTGTAATCCCAGCACTCAGGAGGCTGAGGCAGGAGGATTGCTGCATGTTCAAGGACAGTCTGGGCTACATGGTGAGTTCAAGGCCAGCCTGAGCTACATAAGAGAGACCCTGTCTCAACCCCCCACCAAAATTAAAAAATCAAAAGGGGTTGGGGAGTGCCTGGGGCTTCGATCCATAGTACCATACCAAAAAGAGAGAGAAAAAAAAAAAAACCTAGTCATGGGCTGGGAATTTAGCTCAGTGGTGCTGCCACCTGCCTTGTACCTTGTA